CTCAGTGGAAGACTCATAGAAAGCGGTGAGTGTGCAGAGCTATGCTAAATGTGATTGAAATCTTGGTTTAGCGTTTTCCCCGTTTGGTTATGGAGGTGTTTGGCCGAATGGATTGCTGCCAAGTTGACCTTTCCAGGCTCTGAGGAAGGCGAAATCCGCCGAAACGTCACCTTGTGCGTAAATAAAGAAATAAAATAGCACCTCGTGCTTGCTGAACAGAAGTAGAAAGATATATTCAATCAATGCCGAGGTTAACAGAAAGTCGGATTTGGGAGCTATAACTTCACTGATGCTGAGATATTTGCAAAACACCGGACCGCAGGTGTCTGCGGTGGTGAACGAACGCGCTATTCTCCTTTCCAGGGAGTAGCGCGTTCACCACCACCTCATGCTGGTTCTTCGTTTCGTCTGTCTCTCATCTTGTTCTATCGATCTTCTGCCATCAGCAATCACCCGTCAACGGGACTGATCTGGGTTGTGATTATAACTGTAGCTTCAGATTTAACTGGGTTCGTTACCGATTTGGGCTCCCCAGATCAGCTTTGTTCTGAATGAAACGTTTCACTAAGGATTCTATTAATATTTTGTTATATTCTATCTGGGGCAGACTTTGCCAAGCTGTCCTCGGGATTCCAGGGAACCACAACGGTTTAACCAGCAAATCTCCGAAAAATGGTGATTTTGCTAGGCCCGCACAACTAGTGAGGACGGGCCGTTCAAATATCAAGTATGAAGATGATGTTCTGTTCTATCACATAGAGATTCCAGGTCGATAAGCTGGAGGAGGAAGATTTAATATCTCGTAACGATACACACCTCAGACGAAGTTTTAGAAAGCGATGTGGTGAACTCTACAAGCAGGTCTTACATTTGTTTTTTTTAAATTATACACAAGGGTGCGTAGAGAATAACGGCTAGAGGTGTCTTGTAGTTCACGCGTCATCACTTTGGTTCGATGCCGCGCCGTAGTCTAACCAGAGCCTCTAACACTTTTCGAAGAGACAGTTAATACCGGCCTTGTCTTGGAGGATAAAAGTCCCGGCTTGATGCAACAGTAGTGTGTTTGATTTTGTATTAGACGACTTTTAGTGAAGGTATAGCTGAACTGTGAACTTTTTTCAAATGGAAATCAACATTAACTTGGACTTGATCCAATTTATGGCTCGCATCTCACAACTGACATACTGATAACGAAGTGTTAGGTGTTTGAAATACCTATCGTGGTTCCAATAACGACGAATCATTTATTCTAAACTTTATACTTTTGACCGTAGAATGTTTCAAAGAAGTGAGCCATGTACATTTCACTCAAGGAATCTCTCCAAGTTGCGAACCTAAACGCGAAAGAAGAAAGGATTTTTGTTCTATTGAGAACTAGCTGAAGAAATTATGAATTTCATTTGAGTCAAGATTTTTTCCAGTGCTCTTTTTTGCCTGATTTGAGTCCTTGTGATTTTTCAGATCGATGATTACAAGAATCGAGTCAAAGATATGAAAAAGTCGGATAACACTGAAGTGCAAAAATTGACAGCATTAGAACAGCTGGACGACCTGCAGGTATTTTTATATTTATTGATTATTGTTTAAAGGGAATCAAGCACCTTGTTATTTAGGTCCGACTCCTTCGAATAGCACCAGAACGTGATCGAGCAAGCAGTGATGCGACGTCATTGTCACGAAGCGGCGATGATGTTGGTGGTTTCGGAGGATCTGCTGAAAAATCAGTTCAAGGAAAAACACCTACCAAGTACGAACCATCTTCGCTGAGCGTACAGGAAACACCAGTGTTGGCGCAGTGAGTCACAATCATGGTATGCTAGAAATATAAAGACTAGGTAGTCATAAAAATCATGTAATGTTGCCAGCAAAATGACCTCTCTTTAGCACACAAAGGCAACTGGTGGGTTAGTGGATTAGTTCATAGCGATAATAATGCCGCTAATCATGATCATGGTGCTGGTTCATCACCATCCGGCCTACCAAGCACCCATCTCTCTTGAAAATTAGTACCGGAATTGCCTGCTTTCTGAAAATTAGTACCGGAATTGCCTGCTATCAGCTCGTCCCCAGTAATCCACATGAGAACATTCTAGGGCAGCCATCCGAGGACTCCAGAGATAATAGATTCGACCAGCACTCAACGGGATCCGTAAGAAAGGTGGAAATCCTCAAGCAATAGCTCAACTGATAAGCGAATACGAAGACCTTCGTGGGTGATGGATACGAGAAAATGAGTAGATTGCCAAAAGTACTGGGACCCGTATAGTATATGTGAAAATGGGCATTCTAAAACTTAAAAATGATCATAAATATTGAATAGCTTTTACAGAAAATTATTGACCTTTTCATTCGATCTTCTGCTGAGACTAGTGCTAGTAAAGCCCCTATATAATACATTCACGTTTCGTTTTCATTATGTACATTCTCAATGTTGCATTCTATTCCGCTGCAGATAAAATTTGGGGTAAGTGCTACCTAAACGCTCTCATAATAATCTCACTTGTAATCTTGTTTATCATTGATTGACTCAAGAGGCTATATTGACGATAAAACCCTGCATTCGTCGTTTTTGAGAGCAAGCCTAGCGCAATGGGCTCTGCTCGCTTGATGAACACAGAGTGTCCCACTTTTTCTACGAGGCCTTTCATTCTCCTTGTTTCGTGGTTTAAATGCCGGAGACTAGACGGTCTCGCCGTGGTAGCTGGTGCCTGCAGGGACTTATGTGGTTCTATTGGAAAATACCTGGAGTTTATTTGTTGGAGACAAACTATGGCCATGTTTTGTGTACGTTGAAAGAAACAAAATGTTCTCAAAGTGTTAGTTCACTAATCTTGAGTAATCTGTAACAAGCATAAAGAACAAATGAAAACAACCAAGTGTTTGATGGTACACAGGGAGTAAAGAAATAAAGGCTTCGACCTTGACCAATTCGTGAGTGATGCGTCGTGCATTTTACTATATTAGTGGTATCGCAGAAGTGACTGAATGCATATTTGGTCTAGAGAGTGACTTTTGCTGGGCCTACTGATGCATTCAGCCAGTACTGCCACCTTCCCAGACAACTCTGGTACAATTTGGCGGCAGGGAGGTACGGAAAGCTAGGCGAGCTCGGCGCGCAGGGTGGTACCAACGACTATGTGTATATTGCACATCAGATGCACCACAGTTGCCCTATGCGGGTGTATAATCTTTATAAATCGCTTTTGGAGATCTGAGATGCATTTTCCTTTTAGTACTCCACAACCTCAGCCTGAGGTGACCACAGGGACGGGCAGACGAAGTAGTCTCATGTATGACGCCGCATCAGACGGCGAAAACGAGGAACATGACTCTGAGGTTGACATAGAAGAAGAATCAGAAGAGGCATCGTCTACGCCAGCAAGGGTTCAGGTGATTTCGTAAGCTTCAATGTTGTAGTCATTTTTGCCGTGACTCTGGAATATATTCTCGTTCTCCTACGCTTTAATAAAAAAAACCACGATATCTAGAAACTCTCTTTTAAGTGCATGTCCTCTGAATCGTGAAATGTGGTTCTTCAAACAAACATTCACACCTTGGTTTGAATTTCTCTTTACCAGTTTTGGGTTTTCCCATTTTTTCTGACTTCACTGCTCTTCTCCTTCCGTCTGCCTACAACCTGTTCTTTACTCTCTTCGTTTCACATGATTTCAGGCTTTTTCCCACTCCTTCACACAGCATTCCTTGTTTATGTTTTCCTGTCCCTCTGTATCTTACTTTTTACTTTTTGTTTTCATGTGCTTCGTACTATCACTCATATGTTTTGTTTACCTCTCATGTTTTACACTACCAATTATCAGCTTTTCTGTTTTTTCCTCTTTCCGTTCTTCTCCTTCTTCTCTCTTCTTTAACTAAGTTTCCGTTGTGTTAATGACCTGATGGGAAGTTCTTTATGTGACTTCTTATTATACAGTGGCTAACTTTTCGGCGTACTTTATCCTCTTCAGGGCTTGGAAAGGTTTGCACTAGCGTGCAGTCTATTCAGCCAAATTTTTTTACAACCCCGTTGGCGAATGATTACAACGTTGGTTTCACACACTTTTGAAAAAGAGGAAAAGAACTAAAACCATCGTGGAATGGAATTTATATTGACAATCTTGGCCCAGTTCATTATGACCCTTTGGGTTGAACGTGATCAAACCAGGATCACATTGCGTCGTAACTCATTAACATATCACTTAATGGTTGACTAATTGAAAAGCTGAAATCAAAAGCCTCATTGCCAAAATTTGAAATGCTTTCGAATGAAAGGTAGTTCAATTAAGGTGCAAGTGCCAACACTTCAACCTGCACCTCGAGTGAAAAAGCAAGTGACACCGGCGGTGACTGCACCCGTTGTGCAATCCAAGAGCACTTCCGCTAGCAGTACCGAGACCGTGGTGTCAGCTGCTGGCGTTGTGGATGCGTCACTTTCAGAAGAAGGTATTATAGCTGACGGAAGTACATTTATTGTATCAGCGAATCTTCGAGCTTCACAACCAGGTGATCTAAACATCTCTGAGGGAGAAATTTTGAAGATCGTACAAACCAGGTTTGTTCTCCTAACCTAACGTGGTGAATTGTGATTAAGTTATTGGGATAAATGCGATCTGTATGTCGCCATCTTAGTTAATTTGGAACGATTTGAGAAATCAGTCCTTTCCCATAAATGAAAGTCTTTGCTTTCAATCTTATTTGCATCCACTTCTAAAGCAATAACGCAATAAATGGAGTTATCATTACGGGTAGGACTGTAGTAGATGTATTCTTTGGATGTTAAGCTCCAACTGCAGGCGGGATAGTAATATCGAACTCTTTCTTGAGCATAAGTAACCCCAGTAGTCAAAGCACCTCAGCCCTAGATCGCAGTTTGGCAGTCACCTACATCCCAATCCATAATCAGGCGAGAAAACCATCGTTGAATCGCGACTATTGATGGTTATATTCAAAGACAATTGTTGAAAGTGTAAACGAAGGGATTTCTTTGTTAATACAGACCTGATGGATGGTGGATGGCAAGAAATTCAAGTGGAATGATCGGACTGGTACCAAAAACATATCTCCGACAAGCACTGCCCATGGATGAACAGCGAAAAGCTGAAGATGAATCGAAAGAAACGGTGAGAATTTTTGCTGCCAGTGAATTTGTGGATTTTTGGCAGAGCAGTTTGCTGTTAGGGGTGTAGATAGCGCAGTAGTGATGCGGTCAATCAGAGTGCAAACGCGTTAGTTCGACTCCCACGCTAACGCTCTTCTCCAATCCACGTGAGAACGCCTTAGCCCGACCATCTTCAAGACTGAATGGAGAATCGACTTAACCAGTATTCAACGGGATTCATAAAAGAAACGAATTCCCCAAGCATTTGGAGCTTGAACACGCGAAATGTTCGCAGACCGTTGTGGACTACGAGTGCGACGGAAGCAAATCAAATGCAAGAACTGCCGAGATCTGCACAATAGGTGCAGATAACGGGTCATTTAAAACAAGAAAATTTGCTGTTAAGTTCCAACACTATCAGTTGTCCATTTAGACTTTTTGCGATTCGAGAACAATTTCATCTATTCGTCGTCCGCCAATGTCTCCACCAGAGCATTTGTTCTCGTCTAGTCAAGTGGGGATCACTAACTTTGCTCTATTTAATAGGTTTATGGTTTTTTCTTTATTGGAACAATAATTGTTATTAATACAACGATTTTGGAACTATATGGTAAAACCACAAGGGTGCTGAGATGTGTAAAATAGCAATAGCAAAAGCAGATAGTAGAGCTTCGGGTGCGCGTCTAACCCGCGATTATCTTTTCCGGGGGCTCACGTGTTACTCACCACTCCAGGCAGCCCTTATTTTGCCGTTCTCTCAGTCAGACTTTTACACTATCGGTGCTTCCAGCATTCACCCGTAAAAGGGAATGATCTGGGAAGTATTGGCATCGGCAATGACTCAGTTAAGCTGAAGTTCCTAACGGAATCAGAGCGCGTTGATTGTTATTTACTGCTTATTCTTTTTTTATGGAAGGGAATTATGTGAAATACAACAACAAGAATGCCGAAATATGAACAAAGCTCAGGTGCGTTTCAAGCCAGCGATAACCCTTGCAGGGAGCTCACGTGCCATCTACCACACTAACCGAGGCCCTTGCTTTGCCTTTCTCTCAGTCGATCGGTGCTTTCAGCAATCACCAATCAATGGGATTTGTGGCAAAAATTGAGCTTCATGGTCACAGTCATGGTCGATTTGGGAATTTTCTTTTACAAAATTTATTTACATAGCACTTGTAGGGTTTAATAATACCTCCCCTCAGCTGCTTGTATCACCTTAAATAAGTGGAAAGTTTCGGTTTATCTTTGATATAAATCGAATTAATCTTTTGCAAGTGTATCATTGTTTTGTGACCACTATTTCTTTCTAAGAAAAGGAAAGATATAGGAAAAAAACAAAAAAAGGCTTTTTATGTAACATTACGGTAAATTTTACCTGGGAAATATTGGTTCCATATTCATTGAACGCCTATTTAATTTTCTGAAAAGATTAAATTTCTCTGCATTTAGAGCGACTTCTTAAATAAACATTTTTACAGTTTTTCTTTGCCATCGAATACACTTTCGTTTCGTTTTTCATTCAGACACCACCAACTCGTCAAGTTCGATGTCTTGGTGATGCACAAGTATTGGATCCACATTTGTCGTTTGCTTGTCATTTAACTCCTCGACTTAGTCATTCTAACATCGGATTTCATGACTTGTACTGGAACTATCGTGACGATAAGGTAAAATCAATATTCCGATATTCTGTCAGTCTCTCGAAGCTTTGTCGTGTCAAGAAGTTTGTGTTTTCTCAATAAGTCTTTCTGTTCAAGCCATGGAAACATTTGACTGAGTAGACTGTGTATCAACATAAGCCTTTCGATAGTTATCGTGGAATAAGTATTGCGTGTGTTCATCAATAACACACTAACTCATGATTGAGGTTAATGAAAAAAATCTGATTTTGAGAATTCATCGTATAGTTATTTTCTAAAAGAACCATGAACTCGGAGAAGAACGAGTCAGTCAGGAACGTGGGCTTGACCAGAGGACAATGCATGACCATCGAAAAACACGCAGATAACTACCGTATACCTCATAATATTTTGGAGATACTGATTAAAATGATTTCTAAAATGACATGATGTAATATGAATGGTGGACACCTGATTATCGAGAACAGAAAAAACTAAACCTGATCGGGCCTAACATCGTAAAAGAGGTTTTTTTTTTAAAATACTGGTGCGCTTGAGGAATTGGGAAGAAAGTAAGATAATTTTTTCAAAGATTTTATTACAATGTTCATTATAAACAAGAGACTTTGAATTACTATGAACTGTGGAGAAATCTGCTCTCTGAAATTCATAATCGCTTGATATTCTCATGCTCCTCTTCCTTGTTTATTTTATCCTTTATTATTGAGTACGGTTTCTTTTGAATGTAATCTATGAATAAGTTATGATTTTAAAACTGGAAAACCTATATAGATAATTTTTTAAACATCACTTATCTATACAGCTTCGAAAGCGTCGAGTTCGAATTTCGAAATTGGTACGTCTGGTTCGACTGGAAGGAATGCCGAAGCAGGACGGTGAAGTATGTCTGGTTAGAGCAGCACTGTATGACCGCAGTAGGAGAACTGGGAGGCAAATCGTGAGTCTTTTCGTAATCACTTACTAATACAAACTTAAACTCGAGCTTAAACGGTAGAAAATTACACTCACGATACAAATTTGAATAATACCTTACATCAATAAAGATTTACAATTAAAAAAAGGACAAAGTGCTCGGTTTTGACGAATATCATGAGGAAGTTCTCTACTTTCGGACAGCATTGTAGAGGTGGTTGTATGAACGATTCGCCTAACCAACTGCTTGCGGTGGCCTATCGATGTGTCAAATAGTGTTTTTGTCTTCTCAGTTAAGTCTGGTATCAGTTTTCTGAGCTCATAGATATGGAGGGTTTGGTTAGGCAGTGACGGGGAGTCGAACCAACGCCTAAGTGTGATTGCTCAGCCTCGATAGTCACTGCACTATACATGGGACAGTAATTTAATAAGTGTGCGAAGCTTGGCCTTGATATTGCTACAGTTTATTAAGTCATATCGGATACCTTCTTTTCTTCTCACTATATCCTCGAAGCTTATATGAATAGTCTAAGCCGCTTATTTCGTTCTTCCCAGTATTGGAGTTGTGTTCAGAGAGCTCCTGGCGATATTTGTTTCATTGTGGCCGCGTTGCTTCGCTGAGTGACATCAGCAGCGAACTTACTTCTTATGACTTTCATTTTCTTTGTCTTGTGTCAAAAAAAGATTCTTTCAAAGGTGTTCCATGAAAACTGCTCCCTATTTATTGGTCCAGAATAACGCTTGATGTATTGGGAATCATATAATCAAGGAAGTGAGGGTGTTCTAGCTGTCCACCGTTGAGTTTTACTATAATTTTATTTCATTGTCTGAGAGACAGGGGAAACGAAGAACCTGCATGGTGTGGTGGTGAACGCGTTACTCCCCGGAAACGACAATAGCGCGTTCGTTCCCCACCGCAGACACCCGCGGTCCAGAGTTTTGCAAATATCTCAGCATCATTGAAAGTTATATTTCGAAATATACCCTGCCGTTAAAAAGAAGAGGCAGTAAATAATAAGTTAAAATCATCTCACTGTTTTGATTTGAAGCCTGTAACCATTATGGTTCTGTATTTTTTCGATATTCAATAACTACTTCTTTTTAATGTGGCTGGACGTTATTAACTAATTTCTCAAAACGTATTGTCTTGTGAACTTCAGATGCTTATAACACCACGTCACGACATGAACTGTTTGACATAAAAATGGAGTTAGAGTGTTATCAAAGTTTAAATTAATGAACTCTAATGAAACTTCAGTTAACGTCAAAAATTCTGATAGGACCTAAACAAAAACGAAAGCGTACCGTGCTTCCAAGGAAATGAACTATCGATGATCATTCTCAGATAGTAAGAGAAATAGCAATCTATGAGAAGTAAAATGAATAAAGGGATAAAACACAGTGTTAATCTTTTATGTACTGCGTATTCTTCTTTCATGGCAGGGTATGTTGTGAACTACAATCACAACGATTCTGAAGCAAGAGCAAAACTCGGAGCTCAGTTAGGTTTCGAACCCCCGACTACTCCTATAGTGAGCTTATGTGCTCTCCGCCGCACCAACCGATGCCCTTGTTTTGCCTTCCTCTCAGCCACTTTTTTTTATTTGTGCTCTGTTGATCGTTTCCGTTGATAGGTGACTGATGATAACACCAGTAGTGTAAAAAGCCGACTGAGAGAAAGTCATAGCAAAGATCTCAATGGTGCAGTGAATAACACTTGAGCAGCGGAAAGAGTAATCACGGGTTCGAAGCCCACTTGAGGTTCCGAGTTTTGTTCATATCGCAGCAACCATGAAGAGATAAAGTGTACGGCTTTGATCTATTCCTAATCTTTGCACGCCGCACTGAACTCGATCGGTGAACGGTAGTTTGAATGCATATCTAACCTGTACAGTGACTTACCTTGATCTATCGATGTATAAAGCAAGTGCTTTATCCTCTCGAACAATCCTTGCAGCGAGTTTTCGTCCCTCAGAAACATAGAAGTTCTAGTTTTTCGAAAGCGTGCGATCGAACCAGCGTCAATGATTGTATTACAGAGCACATCCAACCACTGCTTCACACGCACCTTCGCCTAAATCATTTTGAATGAGATTTGGGTACAGAGTAATTGTAAGAATACAACGAAATGATGTTTCTTATCATTTCAGTCTTTCTATAATCATTTAGGTGAGCAATGTGCATACGATTCGAGCACAGGTAAAGAATCGAACGTGGACTTTTAATACAAGGGTGGGTATAGAAATTTTATAGAATATGACAATTGTATTGTATAATCGCGGCTTCTAGATAATCTTAGACAGTTTGCTTTTTAGAGTGCTATTTACTTACTTGATACTTGGACGGCCCGTCCTCGCTAGTTGTGCGGGCCCCAGCATAATCATCATTTTTCGGAGATTTGCTGGTTAAACCATTGTGGTTCCCTGGAATCCGGAGGACAGCCTGGCCAAAGTCTGCACCAGGTCGTCACCACGACAGGCTGACGCAGCCTTTGTGGATCAGAGGGAGATTTGCCACCATGCGGCTTTGATACCAGGACGCTGGTGGATCCTGGTATTTGTTTACTCTTAGCTAAGTTTTCTGATGGAAACGGACTCCTTCTCAGCTTAGGAGACCCTACCGGGAGGATGAATCATCCCGTTGTACATCGCAGTCTGACAGCCAGGAACACCTCCCAGCCACGATTAGGCGGTAAACCGTTGGGAGCAGAGTGCTATTGCTACCGCTAAGATGTGAAATGAATTACTGTGATTTTATCATTACAGACGGACACAACGTCTTCTGGAGTTGAATACGGTGATTTTATCGTTCGGTCCAATTATAATATGACCGATGTCGTGCTTCTAATAGAAGCATCTCGTGTGGTTCAGACACAAGTAGGCATTCTTAGTCTTTCGTTGGAAAGTATAAATAAGCTTCTAGTGATTACTATAGAATTTCTTATTGAGATTAGTGTGCTTACTACCACCACCCCAACCACCAATCAGATATCAGCGCGAATTTTCGAAAGCCAATTAGGAGCTATGGAATTACGAAAAATGTCTGACATAATGATTAGGTTTAGTATCTATACTAGTATTAGCTTCTCCTACTTGTATTTCTTCATCTCATTCAGCCAAGTTTTGAAGAGCGAAGTCTTGGCATCATAACTATCGATCTGATCAATAAAGGAGAAGTCATCTTTAGCAATAAGTTAGTGTGTTGTATTTATATTTCTGCTTTCTATTGCTCAAACATTCACAACAGAATTGGTCATCTCTTCAGAACGTACTGTGGAACACTTCGATTTGAGAACATTTTCGATCGATCAACGAACAACAGTGCATCTACACAGTACAAAATCGTGTTGAAAGTGCTGGATGTGCCTCAGGAGTTGGTACCATTTGTCGAGTATGCTGCTTCATTTCTTTCACAAAGAACGACCGAGTAGCACTTTTACCAACAGATGTAAAAGAAAGCGCTGTCAAGGAATTGGGGAAACAACAGGGTTTAGCATGACACTTTTTTGCTAAGGCATGTAGGGGTTGCATACTTCGATGTAAGAAAATTTGTTTGGATACTTAGATGGCTCGTCCTCACTGGTTTGCGGGTTCTAGCATAATTTCCATTGTTTCGGAGCTTTGCTGGTTTAGCCATTATAATTCCTTAGAGTCCCGAGTTCAGTCAGGCCAAATTCTACCCCAGGTCGTCACCACCACAGGCAATTCCCGACGCTGTGGATGAGAGGGAGATTTGCCACCATACGACTAGTTTGATACCAGGACGGTGGTGGATCCTAGTACTGGTTTACTCTTAGCTGGGCTTAAACTAGTGAAAACTGCGAGCTCCTTCTCAATCTGGCAGACCGTGCCGTGGGGATGAGCACCCCAGTGTGCCTCATTACAGTTCGACACCCACGAACAGAACCCAGCCACGACGAGCTGGTTAACCGTTGGGAGGTTATGGAAGAAAAACTTGACTAAATCAAACGTTAACAGTCAGAAAAAGTTTTTGAGAGGATTTTCAACATACATCCAATTGCCTTCTTTTTTACTTTTTTTTATACAGCTCAATGCCTGATGTGCTACTTTTCAATCCAATGTTCGTGAGACTTTACTTCTTTTTTCGTCGCCGTGCTGGTACCACATTGTTACGTGATCGAGACAATCTCCTCAATGCAGGCACTGTTTATTTTTGATCTTTTCTTTCTTCCGAAAGCTTTTTTTGAGAAAATGGAGATCTAACTACTGAGATAGGTGCATATATATCTGGTTTTCACTCTTTCGTACCATCAATGAAAAGAAAAGCATCGTATATGATTACTGGTAGAAGAGTTAACTGATAAGAAAACGACAACGGAGTTTGACATCTCTCGTTAACACTATCGTCAATCGGTACATCTTGTTGGTTCTCCATTTCAAGGTATTTGTACCACTGTGTAATCTGACCTGTGAACAGAGCACGGCGGTTAAATGTGTAACAGACACGTAGCGCTTTGTTCCTTATTGCGCCGAGGGATCATCAATCCCTCCATCCCTCCGAGTTAGCAAATTAGCACCATAGCTGTCTAGAATGATAGAAACACTGATTTGTCAAATTGGTAGAGCCCTGTAGGTCATTGCATAGGCTAAATATGCAGACCTCTAGGATGCACAACAGAATTGAATTCCAGGCTCATCCTTACGGGATTGATGATTGCCAAATTCTTTATCCTTTACGGTCTTGCTCCAATGTACTCATTCATGATTTCCTCTTTTTATGATTCAACTATTCTATGAGTACGGTTTTTGACTTTACGTTTTCAAGACACAGCATTCATTGGGCGAGAGTTTATGTTTTAAAGTTCAACGTCATCAGAAGACTTGTAACTGATGATTATAGGTCTTTCTCTATCGATATGTTCTTAACAAACAGATTTTTATCTTGATGTTTTCTACGCCTATATCCTTTTCTCTATTTTCATTAAAGCCTTTCATCACTATTTCTTTCATAGTGCCGTAAGGACTCAGTTTAACTTTGATCAGGTAATGAAGAATTGTCCATTCTTGTTCCATATTGACCCCCTCTACACTCCCGAAAGTGGCTGCTATTTACTATAGTAGAAAGTTGTCTTCGAGGCGAAGCTGCAATACAGCAGCTTATGAAATCGATAGGCTTTCATGCTTCGGAAAGTCGTATGACACGCTTTAACCTCACTAAGAAATGACGTCCATCCATCTCCTGTCAAATACTTTACCATCCACAGGACCGACTTCCTATTAGGTTGGTATTATAGAATTAATTAGCGCGCAATAGCTGACGTTTCGGCGGTTTCGCCTTCTTCAGAGCCTGGAAAGGTCAAATTGAGATGTGATCTACTCAGCCAAACACTTTCATAACCCCGGCAGTTAAGACTTAACACAAACTTGCGTGCACATAAGAAACAGCTTCATTTAAACACCTACCGTCTATTTGTTGTAAGTATTTAAGTTAGTTGGTGGATAGCAGCCGCACAGAGTAATACATGGGCGATAACTGTGTCTGTGTCAGGTCACTGGATTAGCCTGAGGTATGGCGCCAGGTCACGCGTGATAACAAGTTGCTCCTTTTTGCCTGTTCGCTTTGGATTTTTGGAATTAGTCCAAGACGCTTCAAAAGTTTTACGCGCTTCTATCACGTGGTCATACTTTACCATCGTTATCGAAGTCTATTGTGAAGTTACTGACAGTATTCCCAGAATGAATGATATGACCTAGATGCAGTGTAATCAACAGGATGGACAGAACATTCAACGAAAGAGAGCAATGTGGGCAAACCTGGTTTCGAAAAGAGTGCGTCATAGTGGATCATATGCACGGGATAATGACTGACGTACTGCTGGAAAACGAGACATCGCTTTGTCTCTTTCATTGGCTTGGAAAGGCTTTCAACTTAGTTGAGAGAAATGTGGTAATGGAAGACGCTTCTATCAGTGAGGGCTGCTCTACATAGAATTCCTTCATGTGCTATGCAGTAGTTGAAAAGCGGTATTTTTTTTGTGGGTTCTAGTTTATTTGAATTCTGTGTAAATTGGATCATTATGATACCTTAGAAGTAAATGTTTATTGGGACCTTAAAGGTTTTTCTTAAAATCTTTTTTATTCTATTGATTTCTGAATCTTCTCATGCATAGTAGAACAAATGTTCGTGTTCTCCTAAACGGTGGTGTACAGGCATAAAACAAAAATAGGAATTCTTTGCACGCTTTTTCCCAAAGTTCTAGTTCACAGCTAAAAAACCGCTCTCATAAGTACTTTAACTTCAGCAGTACTTCAACAATGTAAAATGAAAACTAGTTATAATTTGAAAAAAAAATGATTCTGAGCACAGAAGATTCCAAGTATTGCAGAAGACGTATTTCTAGAGATGATATTTGACCCATTTCTGGCGTTGTTTCCGTCACTGGCCGATCAACCGGACGTTATGGATCAGTTGCGATCCCTTTGGAATGTTAAACTGAAAGTGATGAGAAATGTAGGTTGACTAGAGTTTTTGTGCTTTACAAGTTCTATATTTCAAAAACCAATCAACATAGAAAATCGTCAGTGATTTCCTATATTTCTTCCCGGTAACATTAATTTAGAAGCCCGAATCGGAACAAGCTGCATCGTTTTTCCAGTTATTCATGAATACTGCATACTGCGTACATAACACTGCCCTCATGCCACCATATCGAATTTGGGACATGAAAACACTAGAAATTCGTCATCAGGTACATCATTTCTACTACCCAAACCAGATGTTTTACTTTCTAGTTAATGTCTCAATGAATTTAAACCTCCATTTTGCTGTAACGATAGCTCGAAGCGCTGTTGCTAAGAAGAAATCCACCACCAAAATGATCGACAACGATAAATGGTAGCTTAACAGGATCACATTTTTCAAGAGTTATGTAAATCCTTGTTTCCTATATCTTGAATTAAACCTGCTGAAAAGCAAGTACACTTTTATGCCTGCACTGTTAGATGAAATGCGCGAACGCACTTTGACGTTGAGGATAGTGCTATGAGCATCCCTTATCACAGAAGTGAGTGAGATAATCTGATTCTTTGACTTACGTCGACTATCAAGAATCAGAAACCTTATTGGTTATGACAAAGTGTTAGATATTGGCTGCGTCAGAAAACCTAATACATCTGAACGACAACTCGGCTGAATAAAAGTCGCTGGCTGGTGGGACGGACCGTCTTCACGAGATGTGCGGACCCCAGCATATTCGCTATTCGTTTCTTTCCGTCGCAGTTGTCGTCCAAGATGGCTGTTTGATTCGAGCATGGTGGCGGGTGGAAGTCTCATATCGTGATCTCTGAAAGGACTGCAGCTGCAAGTACAGATGTATGACTTTCCGGGTGATTGGTGATGGTAGTGTTCGATAGAGCTAGTTGAGAGACAAGCGAAACGAAGGATCCGCATGGTGTGGTGGTGAACGAGTTAGTCCTCGAAAAGGATAATATCGCGTTCGTTCCCCACTGCAGACACCTGTGGGCCTCAATTTTGCAAATATCTCAGCATCATTGTGGTTGTATGACTTTAGTAACGAAAACAAGCTCCCAACGTGAAGATGGTCGTCCTAAGGGACGCTTGCATTTTTGTGGAGTCCACTCTACAATTCTTTTCGTCCATCTGTCGTCTGTTCTTTTCGTTTTATAGCCTGCTCACCTGTGTTTCGCTATCGATGTGTGTTCTCCTGCGTCTCGAAGAAAGAAGAAAATAAATTAACGACAGCAAAAATATTTCCAACCTATTGGTCAGACATCTTCTTAAAAGCTCTAAAAGAATGGTACAACGCTTTTCGTGTCCATCAAGAAGTAAGATCCTGGCGAATAATGACTTGTAGACAGACGTTGAGATGACTGACGGTGAATGGGAAAGCAAGGTCCAGATGCTGTAAAAATGCAGTGTGCCTGAGTATTTGAGATAGAAAGAACGTAATGTAATATATCTCCTTGGCATTTGTTTAGTTTCTCAGCTAATTAAGTAGTCAGTTGTTTGTTTAGCTCGTAAACGAGGTCATGCGCTCACTCCATCTATGTCAACGCCAATAGTGCATGCAAAAGAAAATCGTACTTAAAGTGACAAACGTTGGATGAAACATTTGATATCGGAGTAGAACTGCTCTAACGGCCTGCGACTTCAAGGTGGAAGCGGTAGTTTCTTCCATCTCAGATGACAAACAATTCGGCATTTCCATTAGGAAGCCAGTCCAAGTCCATTAGGAAGAATAAGCGTAGAGGAATTATCAACGTTTTGAAACAGACTTACTCGGAAGATAACAACTTGTTGCGCTTCACGGAGGCCGGCGTGGGTTGACATCCCTGGAAGAGAAGAATAAGGAAAACCGTTGAAGGTCTTTGCGTTGTTCTTAGCATACTTAGAATTAAAGCAAATCTGTAATTAAGGAAATCTCTGTACGGAAACCAAAGAATCTTCTACTCCGTTTGGAACACTTTTTAGCCATTACTTTCAGAGTATGCGCATTCAGCTCATACTTAGTTGGCAGCTTCGTAAATATTGCGCGTACCTCAACACTTTACTTGTTTTGTTTTCTTGCAAGCATTATCTCTAGAGATGATCCTGTTCATGTGCACGTTGCTTTGCTGCTGCTTGACGACCTGCCATCATCTGAGCTCATCAATATGGTGAACCTCTATCAAGTATTGTTTTGTCTCTAATTTTAAAGACCAAGGATAGCCGTTCCTTCCAACGGTTTCCCGCCTCATCGTGGCTTGGAGGTGTTCCTGGTTGTCGGACTGCGACGTACAGCGAGGGATTCCTACCCCGGCAGGGTCTTCCAAGTTGAAAAGGAGTCCGGCGTTTCTATCAGAAAGCTTAGCTAAGAGTAAACCAATACTAGGATCCACCACCGTCCTGGTGTCAAAGTCGCATGGTGACAAATCTCCCTCTAATCCATAAAGGCTGCGACTGCCTGTCGTGGTGACGACCTGGGGCAGACTTTGGCTAGGCTGTCCTCGGGGTTCCAGGAAACCATAATGGTTTAGCCAGCAAATCTCCGAAGAATGGTTATTATGCTGGGGCCCACACAATTGGTGAGAACGGGCCGTTCAAGTTTCAAGTATCAAGTAAAGATAGCCGTTATAAGTTGTTTTCTGATTCTCATCACAGACAGTGGCCGAGTCTGCTGTCTTTTGAATATCATTGTTACAGGAGGGTCTCGTTTCTTTCAATTAGTCAACTGACCAAATGCGCTTAAACATCTTGAAAATAATTTCGAGCTTACGTACTGTTCATTAGTCGCGAACGATTTCGAAGCAAAAATGTGTAGGATTGCCTATTGTTTCACAGAGATGGCCATGGACATAGTGAGTAATGAGCAATGGTCCCCGATGTACTTTCAGATGCTGCTACTATTATTGCCTTTTTGTTGTCAGCGCCATCACTGTTTTTATTAGTAGCGGCGGTTATAGCGCACTAGTTAGAGGTGCCGTGCAATACACACGCAGTTCTCTCATTCTCGTTCTCAATAGCCATACACGAGGTTTATAAACAAACTTTTTGGACGCTTTCGTCTTCCTCAGAGCCGATGATCCGAATCGATCGTCCACAGTTATTCTTCTCGATGTCGTGCCTTCATCGTCGGCGGATCGGATCTTCCTAAGCGGGACATCGCTCGTATGAGATAACCTCACTCGATGATGCTCTTCTAAACGGGTTGTTTGTTGATAACAATCAATGATTGTCCGTTGATAGCAACTTGTTTGTTTTTTCCATACAATGCATTCTGTAGAAGTCGATATAGTCATCACCTAGCACATAACGAGTCAACATTTCAAACACCGTTTCTATTCCCACTTTTTTCGACTTTCCTTTCGAAATACGCAGTTGTTTGTTCGATTTTGCGCATTCGGCAAAACAATCCTCCATCCTTCGGAAGTTGGTAATTTAGCACCAACATTGTCTGCGACGATAAGAAACACTCACTTGATCCTTCGGTAGGGGAAAGCAAGTTATTTGTTGGACCAAATGTACATTCTGTTACCTCAACCATGCTAGCAATGAAGTCGAACATGTCTAAGAGATTGGATCGACGGCGAATGTTTCCTCCTTTACCTTTCATTGTTGTTTTTAATAAATACTTTTTACTTTTCCAGTGCACTGATTACTTTCAGTTGTTGAAAAAATGTGAAGATATGCTACGTGAATATCGAACGTCAACACGTTTTCTTCTCACCGAACCCTGCCTTCCACTAAACGTTTATGATTACTCATTCGATCTTCTCGGACGTCATGCACTGGACTGAAACAATGGTTTCGCTTTTTTTTTTTCGTCGGATAAGAATCGAAACTTATTGATGAGTTTGATACTGTCTTGAAATGTTTCCTATTTCAGTAGTGCTCATTTAATCCTTATTTTTAGTACCCTATTACTTTTTCGTTTCTATCGTACCTCATAGGTTTTTGAATTGATTTGCTGGCTTTGAAGAGCTAATCAACCTGGAGACGAGGCTTTTAACGCCTTTTACTCTTATTTCTTTATTGTTAGCTCAGGGTTTCCGTACGCGCTGAGAATAAGAGCCGGCTTCACTGTGTATTCATTATTTTCTTGTACAATACTTGAATGTATTTTTCATGGTATACAACTTCATAGGCCTTTTTATGTCAAATTACTCACATTCTCACTACCTGGTCATTTTTCTTTCGGCTTTCCGTGCTCTTTTACTGCGATTATTGCTAGATGACAAGCATTGATGCCGGACGTGAACAACAAGATTTCTCTCGTCCACTGATACGCAGTCCCGTTTTTTTTTTCCTTTTTCTTCGTCCGCGTTATCCCGAAACGATTCTTTTCCCCAAGTGTCTTGTTCGGATCGCGAACGTAGGACAAAGACAGCAAGATTTGGGTCAACTGAAAACACGGCTTCGACCTGGTTGTGGTGTAAAAGGGCAGAATTTTCAAAATCTCGTAACCAACAGGATTATCTTCTGCATTGTATGTCTAGTTTTTAAGTTAACACTACCAAGTAGGCACTGTTGTGTCCACTGTGTACGAATTGTCTTGTAAGTTTGTTTGTGTTGTCAATTAGAACAGCTCACTATGATTTTTACTGACTCATACGAATATTCGCTGCTACACAGAAATCAGTAACGCTCATATATCTAAAGTGTGTAAATAAACACTGTTGAAAGCAATAAATTTTTTATTTCATCTAATTTATGAGGTACTCTGAACTTCGTTTCATTACAGTTTAAGTGGTTTGATAGCACAGTACAATAGTAGCCTTGTTATCACCAAAACGACCATTGTTCGATCCCAGAGGAAAAAGTATTACCTACATCAGGCATGAGATAGTGTTATAACATCTCAAATGATCATTAACTGTAGCAGTAGAACAACTTTTTGGAACTAGAGCATTTTTTATGGGATCGTTAGTAATAGATGGAACCCAATAAAATATCTAATGCTTTCATTAAATATATCAAACTGTTGCCTTTTTTAATAGTAAAGCTCTAAAAAGACTACTGTGCCCAAAATTTATCTGCTAAGTAGGTGAATACTACAGTACCGTTTAGTAGTAGCGTACCTTTTCTTCTACTGAATACGTCTCACCCCAATCAAGAACTTTCTAACAGAAGGTGTTTCATGTTTTTGATGTCCTCGTTAGAAAGCATTAATGAGGGCAATAAGGCGGATCCAGTCGCAACATATACGTCCTTAAGAGTTTCCTATAGCGCCGACAACCGTTACTGGGAGTTGTGCGAACAAGCCGGTTGCTCGCATACGGTATCTGGCTTTCAATTCCATGCACGTACTGAATCTCGTTGTCCGATACACTCTCTTTAATGCAAGTGACCACGCCTTCACACTAACACTATAAAAGCCAACAGCGATTTCTCGTTGAGTAGTATGGATCTGAAAGAGACGGAGGAACAGCGTCAGATGCGGCGCATCGCGTTCGTCGCCGTCGTCGTCTCAACAGCTGCCGTTATTGCTAGCGTTGTCACGTTACCTATGTTATACAACTACGTGCAGTCATTTCAAAGTCATCTCATGGTCGAAACCGACTACTGCAAGGTATGGCCATTTTCGTTGGCCTTTTGGCGTTTTCTTTCAAATAATCAGTATTGTTATTTATCCATCCTCTTGGGTTTACTACATTATTCGTCCATTTCATTGTTCTTAGCTCAAGTTCTTTTGTTGGTAGGCTCGTTCTCGAGATATGTGGCTAGAAATGACTGCTCTGCAAGCTGGTAAAGGTATGATACATCGTCAGAAGAGAGCGTGGTTGTTTGGACAGTGGATACCGGAAGGTGGGTCCGGTGGTGGTGGATCTGGATCAACACATAGCAGTAGTGGTAAGTTTTTAAAACATATTCTGAAATTATGTACAGCTGATCACTGTTGTTTAAGGAGCTGCTGGATATGGCGGTTACGGAGCAGTAGTAAGCGCAGAACCAGTTCCTACTTGTTGCACTTGTAATCAGGGAGCAGCAGGACCTCCTGGACCGGAAGGTCCACCTGGAAACAACGGAAAAGATGGGAAAAACGGAAAAGACGGAAAGAACGGGCGCGATGCCGAGCTGCTTCCCGCCCCACCAAGCGAGCCGTGTGTGATTTGCCCAATTGGAGCTCCAGGACCTATGGGAGCGATGGGCGCGAAGGGGCCACCTGGGCCGAAGGGTTCACCTGGAGAACCACCTCAAGACGGCACACCCGGTGCAGATGGCATGCCTGGACAGCCTGGGCCGATCGGAAGACCAGGACGTGACGGAATGAAAGGGGCTCCTGGAGCTCCTGGACGACTTATACCTGTTCCTGGACCACAAGGACCACCTGGTAAACCAGGACCACCCGGGCCACCTGGACCGAAGGGAAACCCTGGGCCGGACGGGCAATCGTATCAGGTTTGTGAACATTAGCAATCTAAAAGTCGTTATTTTGTAGAAAAGCTTATTTTGTAGGGACCTCCTGGTCCTCCGGGAGATCCAGGAAATCCTGGAGTCGAAGGACGACCCGGACCAAATGGGCCACCAGGACCTCAAGGTGACGATGGCGACAAAGGAGACTGTGGCCACTGCCCACGTAGGTTTTCATAATAATTCTAGACAGAAACATTTAATTCAAATCGTACAGTACCTGTTCTTTTTCAGCTCCACGTACACCTCCTGGTTACTAGAAGTCTATTGCGCAAGTTTCATATGAAACCTCCCAATGGGTGCATGTGCTCGTGCATCTGTTGTTGTATAATAATAAAAATTTGCTCAAAATTTATTGTTGTTGCTTGACTGTAAATGGAATTGACAGGCCACCTTCTATGGCTTAACAGGTAACAGAATGTTACTGATGATTGTCTAACAATAATTGATTCCTATTCATGAAAGTTTGACTATGACAAGGAAGATTCCGGGAATCACTGCTATTCGAGCAAATATATGCTCAGATTTGCCACACAGTTCAGATAAAAAGAGGTCTTTTCGCTAGGAAACAGACATTCTCCGATCCACGTTAGTGAACGATTTCCTATAGTTTCGGTGTGAGAACGCGATTGTGCACCTAATGGGCACTAGACAGAACATCGTCCATCCAAAAATACTAGTTAAGTCAGGTTGTCCAGTTGTCCAGATAAATACAAATTTCAATAGTTAAGTGAACATTAGCAAAAATTAACGATAACCATGTATATTTTGTTTCATTCTGAAGGCACTATGGAAGTTTTGAGGAATTTCCGCTCACTTACCGAAAACCGAATGGCACAGATTACAGCACTGCGATCCGCAGGTGGTTAGAGAACAGCCCGAAAGAACTGAACTTTATTCATGGATCGATTTTGATCGGGAATCTCTAGGAGAGCGGTATTCGTCGTTCATAATTCATTGTGTTCTGGGATAGAGCATCGTTGGATGTTACAAGCGAAAAAAAAATCACAATCTATTTTTTACAATGTATGGAAAACGGCTAAAACATTACTAACAAATAAATATATTGTAATTCAAAGGCAAGAAATAAACGAGGTTTACATATCCGTTCTCGCATTCTTTAGACAGCAGCAATTTTTCTTTGATAGACCTAATAATCCGTCTCTTAGTGTTAACCCATCATTTCGTAAGAATGGATCTGAGGAAAAATGAACCACCGACCACAAATCCATTCTTTAAGAAATTCTTTTTCTTTTTCTCTCGAACATGAGACATCTAAATTGCACACAGATACCAAGTCTACTTGGTCGCCAGTTCACTTCGCTGAAAAATGAAATAGTTCATGCTTAGATACTCTAACGACTTCGGTAGGAGACAGCCAAATTGTTGCATACGTCATTTATTCTTCTTCTGTGAAATCATGAACATCCGTTCGCTTCTATGTTCGAAATACGAGTTAGACAAAAAATAAAATCCCGAAAAACTGCGTTCTGTTTGCTCTAAAAGATCTGGTTTTCATCTCTGTGAAACAGAAGAACTTCTATCTTGCAGGGAAGAATTCTATATTCTAACGTCGTCCAGCAAGCATTGAAGTATCAGCTGATATAAAATTGTTTATCGTTGAAGGGAGTAGTTGTTTTCGGTCATAGGTGATTGTATACAATGAACATCGTCCGTTATGGCGTAAATACGATACCAGGATGACCAACTAAGAAGAATGCAAGGTTTGAAATAGCTCGGAGTAGAATATCAAAGATTGAAACCTTATTAAAGAGATTCTGCCGACATCATGTTTTTCTTCAATGGAACAACATAACGATGAAAGACTTTGGAAGTGATTAGGATATTCTTTATTATAGTGCTAACTTTTATTTGCTACCTACTATAACTTTTCACGGCAGGGTTTGGATATCTCCAAAACTCCGGATCGCTGGTGTCTGCCGTGCGGAACGAACATGCTATTACCCTTTCCGGTGCTAACACGTTCACCACCACACTATGCGAGTCCTTCGCTTCGCCTGTGTCTCAGCTAGTTCTATCGATCAGTGCTATCAGCAATCACCCATGCGTTAGCCCCCGGCAAGGGTAATAGTGCTGTTCGTTATCCACCGCAGACACCAGTTATCCGGAGTTTTGCAGATATTTCGGCATCATTGTGGTTTTATTTCTTTATTATATTATATGTATATATGCGAACCAAAATCAGATTTTAAGCAGATCTCAGAGTTTTCTTCAACCGATTTAGTTGTTTTGCATTCGTCGTGCACGCATACTAGTTGAGAATTCCTTTGTTCTCACAGGTGTCGTTGAATGATGAACTAATTTTCCCTGACTGTTTTTAGACCTTCCAAGGTCTTCGCCATAGATAGTTATTAGAGGTTATTGCAGCTATCGCAGACCGGACATAATATTACAGCAAGCGGATCACCTCACCAACTCTTCTGTGATAAAATAGAGTCATTAGCAGTAAAAAGTAAATATTCGTCATTTTCCTCAGAGCGCAAAGAAAAGCCTTATGCAATGGAAATGTTTCAAAAATGATCGCTTGTCATCTTCATCATCACTGGTGAGTTTATGAAGAAGAGAATAAACTGGTTACTTAATCTAACTAGGAGTTCCCAACAAATGATGACATGCTAATAAGTGTGAGCTGCACATCTCTACAAGACAAAGAAATCATAAAGATACGGTATGAAGAAAAAACTTGGAAGGAATGTTCAGGTGCTCAGCGAAATGTCACGAATGACCTCCTCTGTGCAAATTTTGTCCAAAACTCTAACTACAATATGGAATTAGTAGCAAGAAACATACTTTAACCCCTTTCCGCTTTCAACTCCTGAACCATGCAGCATCTCTTTAAGCGGAAACCATGCCGAAGACTTTTCTTTGCATTTCCAGTGATCATCAGAAGCATGAAAATACAAAGCTTGCTTGCATATTGAGCAAATTTTCTCAAAATGGAAGCTGTAATCACAGCCATTACTCACCACTCATATGATAACCACGTGTTATCACATGAACCATCGCAAGAAAAATTCACATGATTATCAGGTGTCCTGTTTGAACCATTTTTTCCCTATTTAATTGACTAACTCTCCTTATTTCATGCTTAATGAAGGGATCCGCTAGTGAAACAGTTACTATAAAGAGCTTCGAGTAAAGAAGTTGCTAATGGATAGACATGATTTAAAAAGGTAGGGTGATCACAATGCTTAGGACGTCTGTTTACAAGAAAGTTCACTTCTTCAAACGTTTCTTTCCGGCGTATCCAAATAAATTATAGGCCTTGTTTCGATGATGTCGTACTGAATTTTTTTAAAAAATCTTCAGTACACTTCATGACTTTAAAAGTGCATTCCTTTCGAATGAAGTGAAACACCATAGTTTTCGCGCAGCGTTTCCTGTCGCTGGACCGTCCAGTGGTTTGATCTTTAAAATGTTTTTATTACAACTCAACTGTAAACGTACGTTGTGGTAGTATCCTCTTTCTTAAAACCTAGAAGGCGAAGGGTGGCCTGTATTTCTAAGTGGAGAGTTATAAAGCTTTTCGGTGCCGATTTTTGATTCTGAAGGAGCAATTTCCTTTTCATTTTCTTCGTGGTTATCCGTTTTTCGAAATATTCCTGTGTATCAACAGTGACGGCAGCTTTCGTTTTAATCGTTTAGAAACCTATATAGCCCGTCTTGACATTTCATTCTGATACCAGCACTTCTTTGCTTCGTCTCTAAACCATACAACAGTCATCCAAGAAACTAATCAAGCTCGTATGCTGCTTGGCGTTCCTGAACTCGAACAAAGAAAACGGGGTTGGGTTACGAGGTAATCCTGGCGCTTGCCTAGGGTGGATATTCCATTGGAAAATCTGAATTCTCCAACAATGCACATCTAAAACGTAGGCTGTCACCTGCTTCTGAACGTCCCATCTATTTCCTATTCAGTTTTTCCTTTTTATTGTGAAATGAATTTTGACATAATGTTATAGTGAACGGTCCTGTTAAGCAATCCATTATTTATAATTTATTGTGGTTGGCTGGATATCATAAATTTTAGATTTTTCTGAATGTGAAACAATGCTGTCAGTAGAGGAACATTGTTGGTTGTCTAAAATCGCATAATTTAAAGTTTTCAAAGTTATTTTTGCCATTTCTTCTCTCTCTAACGGAACATTCCCTCCTTCATGTACTTCTGATTCTAATTATGCTTTTAACTTATGTTTCCTACAACGCATCTCATTCTCCTACATTTCTTCTGTCCTTGAATCGATTCTTTATGCATTCTTCAGTGATTCGTTTGCACGCCTCCCGTGGGATGTGTCTCGAGTCAATTAGTCGCAAAGCTATGTCTCATGACACCATGTGGTCGATGAGCCACCAAACTTGGACTAAAAGTTGTGTAAATTGCTTATATGCATCACGGCTGGTTTCAAGAGATCAGTTTCTGCCTTATTCTATGTTGAATTCAGTTTTTTTCTCACAAATGTACTAAAAGCCAATGACCAGAGATCGCTTCCAATAAGGAACCCAGGGCCTGCTTCGTGAATGCAAGGAGCTCCAAATGTAACTACGCCTAATTCATGATGTATGCAATTAAAAAGACATCTACAATAGTGCAGGTTGAAAGACTTCGCACCTGCATCCCACTGAACTATAACGAACATGAAACCTACTCCATTTTGTATAGCCTCGTTGGTTAAGCGCAACATCATGGCTGTAAAGAATTTGCTGAGCTTCGAACTGCAATGCGCAGCAGAGAGCTCGTCCCTCTAGCAAAGTGCAGACTGAGAAGGATATCGACATTTCCATCCCGAAGTCTTACCAAAAGTAAATCATTACGTTCTGAAAACAGATGGTCACTAGCTAGCAAATGACGACGGCATCGAAAAGCAGAACCATTGTTTTCCAAACTCAAGTGAACGAAAATTTTACACAAACAGCGAATTACCAGTGCAGTAGAAACAATGCTGTGGCCCGCACGTGGTCCAAGAAGATGAAGAGACCGAGAATTGAGGCTTCAAGTAATTGTACATAATAGAGGATAAAGGATAAATCTCTCAGCGTTGATCAATCCCTGAGGGATACGCCTTTCATTTGACTTCATTAAGCATCGTTTGGAGGTGATTGAATGCATGTCTAGCCTTTACAATGGCTCTTGGTGGCCTAACGATGTATCCAGCCAGTGCTGCTATCCTCCCAGACAAGTTTGGTAACAATTTGCCGATCTCGAGAGATGGAAGGGTTGGTGGGCCATGGGGCGGCGATC